GTATATAAGACAGGAGAACACTTTGTAGGATACGTTCAATAATATAATTTCTCTGTAGTTTTTGCAATCACATTTGTCCCCTTTTTTACATATGGAGTGTATAAATCTCATCTTTCAATCTTCGGGGATCCTCTCTTTTTCCCAAATTATATTCACGAAGCTATGTAAGCAGGTCCATAGTTTCTGACCGATATTCTTCAGAAGCTTAGAAGTGATTGTATCACTTCCAGGGGCTTGTTCTTGAGTGATCTTATTATCTGAATGACCTCATTTAGTGTTGGGCTTGATACCTTAGGTTCTGCGGTTATGTAATCCTTATCTTCCTATTTCCTGATCTCGTTCGTTATTGCGACTTCTATCTTTACTCCATAGATCATGGAAATACTCTTTTCATCTTTTGAATATATCCGATTCGTTTGTTCGCACCTTTCCCTTACTATCCTTGCACATGTTTTCTCTTGATCTGAATTCTTTAGCGAGTTGCCTCTCTATAGAACTTTCTATATATAATCGTCTATTACTACTATCCTCGATTTCTTGCAGCTTTTTATTATACAGTTCCCTTTTCTTTCTCATGCATATTTTGATGGTTTTTCTTCGCTTCATGCAATATTCTTCCCAGATACTTTTTATTTCTCGCTGCATAAACTTGTTCCTTGCTTCATCCTTTTCTCTGATTGTCTTCAAACTTTCGTTACCAAATCAATCAGAATTCAACTTTCTTCTGACCGTTCCAATTGTTTCTATCGCCTTCCTTATCTCTTCTAACTTCCTTCCACTCTCGTTCAACCTCGTTCACCATTTTCAATCTTCAGTTCCTCTTCTATTGCTTCCTAGTCTTCTTTGAAAGGTCTACATTCCATTTCTCTGGCCTCTGTCCTGTGCGTTTTAGTATTACTTATTCTTTGTCTTACTATTGTTGCAACTAAGTGTCGGAGTTGCAATTTATTCCTCTGTATAAGCAGACAAAGGAGACATCTTCTTGATACTAAGACATGATCTATTTGGTTAAAGTTTTGGCTGCCTGGAATCTTCCATGTGTCTTTATATATTCTTTTCCGTGGAAAGCAGATACTACCAATGATTAGGTTTTGTGCTTCCGTCAAATAGCATACTCTTTCTCCATTTGGATTTGTTATTTGATGTAGACTGTGTCAGCTATTCTTTTATATTATTCTTTCGGACCAATTTTTGCATTAAAATCGTTGAATATATACAATACATCGTGACTATGTATTTTTTGACACTCTTGGTATAATGCGTCATAGAAGACCTCCACATTATTCTCCTCCGCGTCCTAGAGGCGTAAACGTTGAGAATTGATATCTTGGTGAATTTTTCCAATAATCGGATTTTAGATATTCAGTTGTTTATTGGCTCAAATTGTAGCGTCTGTCTAGCCCTTTTTTTAATAATGAATCCTGTACCATATAGTCCTTGCTTTTCTCCATCGCTATAAAATAGAGAATAGCTTTGGATTTCTCCGTGTCCTTTCCATCTTACTTCTTGTATAGCTGTAATATTCATTCCAAATTTAATCAACTTGGTCGCAATCACTTGCATTCTTCCGGATCTTAGTATTATTTGTACATTCCATGTTCCTATGCGTAAGTTCTTGTAATTGTATCCTTGTTTCTTTATTTAAGTCGTTTCCGAGAATCTAGAGAATCCGGCTTCGTTTTGCTGAATATTCGTATCAAGAGATTTTTTTCTATGGGGAGGTCATCAGCCTCTCGCATAACCCCTATCCTAAAGCGTCGGGGACTCTTCTGTAGGGGTTACCATCAGTCAAAGTGGTTTTAAGGCGCCAAAAACTCGCCCTCATTCATCCTACTAGGGATAGGATTTGTGGCATCGACGAATCGACTCGGACGATTACTTAGTATTTAGTAGCAGCACCTGCTCGACACATGAACTGCCACTAAGACCCATTTACTAATCATTCACTCTCCTTCTTTATCCTTGAGACCGTCGCATATGACGTGTACCACACGTGGCGGAGTTAATGGAAAGAAATTATTTTATAAAATAATATTATTTTTATTGTTGCAAAAATATTATTTTATTTTACAAACGTAGTGTTTTCTCATTAAGAAATAAAAAAAATGTTGTCTTTGTGTCAATTAAAAAATTTTTCCTTCCAATCCAAGCAATAATAATTATTTTAATAATTATTTTCCTTTAAAATTCTATCTACCATATCAGTGATAATTCCTATTTTTTTATTGAATCAATAGTGGGAATTATAATTGAGACATCTTTCCGAGAAAGTTTGCTTGTGTAATAATCGAAAATGATTCTTCTCTCTGTATTAATAAGAAGCATGGCATTGAGGAAATTAAAACGACTATCTATCACTCTAACTATAAATTGTAGGCGCTCCTGTAACGAGTTAAATATTTGTAAGATAATGTATAACAATACAAGGAGTGCAGAATTATATATATCGTGCGTGCGTGCGTGCAGGGAGAGAGTCCGGGTATGTTGTATATGCAATACCCATTTTTAACGCAATCCAATGCCAACAATGTAGACATGAGGTTTATCACTTATGTATAAGTATGTGTATGTGTGTGTGTGTGGCTGCCGTATGAATATTTAATGTGTTTGCGTTTTTGTGCTTGTGTGTGTAATAGTTATGAATATTATTTAAAAGGTATTCAATACACGCAGATGCATGCACCCAAATTCACACACAAACACACATTCGCACATATTATATACAACAACACATACGTAAAGCAAACACATACACAAAAGATCAAATTTCTGTCACATCCACATTATTAATCCTGGATAGCACAGGCAATGCACTCACACACGCACAAACATTATTTGTTTTATTTCTCTTGTAGCATCCATCTCTAAAATGATTCACGTAAAGGAACAAAAAAAGATCTCAGTTTAAACAAAGGTACTACCTTTTACTCGGTTGTGCTTACTTCACAATATTCTAAACGAACTTTCTAGGAAAAATTAATAATACATCTTGATAAACATGTTTACGTATTCTTATATAAATCCGTTGGAAATTGACGACTAAGTTATTTGTTTCTATGAATATTATAATCTTATTTCGGAATAAGAGATTATCAATCTAATGTTAAACGCATTATTACATTTGTAAATATGTTTTTACTGATTCCACTTGTAAATATTGTGCTGCGTTTTTTGCGACATCTTATTTATGCTCATTGATCATTATGTAATTAATTCCATCACTTTAGATTTTTACTGTTACTGTAACAATTCAATCATGCAAATTTGGAAACTCTTACTGGTTGACTACATATTAATCGTTGGGCTATATAACGTTCTATTCTTTGACCTAATTTGTTTTTCATATGAAATTGAGGAATTAATTATGATAATTAGTTTTATTCGCATAATTGAACCGTTTAATTTCTATCTTTTATTGTTATTTATAGTTTTTTAATTATTTACTTGATTTTTATATATAAATTAATTATTTATATACATATTTTTTAATCGTCTATGCTCATGACTTATTTTAGATTTAAAATTTATTTTCTTGAGTAATCTCCGATCCATTGATTTACTTTTGCGACTGCTTTTTATCGTTATTTATTGTTTAATTACACTCGTATTGATCTTAGATATATCTAATCACTGATATTATCACACCTTGAAGATTAAGTAAGTCGAAATGTTTGTATATCAAGCAGATTATGCGAATTGTTTTAATAGATTTATTTCGCTTAAATACATCTTTAAATACATCTCATCTCGTTGCTCGTTAATTAGCTTTTTTTTATTTATTGTAATTGAAAAAAGTTTGATCTAAAAATGTATTACTTCCATTCCATATCAAGCTGGGACTAATGAAGCAATTTGTCAAAGCTTTGATTAAGGAACGAGATTGTTTTAAATATTTTGATAAAAAATATTTAAAAATATTTCTGAATATATCGAATGCTAAGTTGAAGAAAGGAATCTTCAACGGATAAATACATTAATGAAAGTTGATCAGTTTACAATTACAATGAATAACGTTGAGAAAGCAGTTTGACAAAGTTTTAAAAGTATGACGGAAAAGTTCTTAGGTAACAACAAAGGTAAGAACTATAAAAGAATCGTCGAAACTATATTATCGAACTATAACGAATTAGAATATTTTATGAATTTAAAATTGGATTTTCTCCACTCTTACTTTCCCGAAAATCTAGGACTCTATAGTGAAGAATATGGTGAGCGATTTCATCAAGGCTTGAAGGAGATCGAGAGAAAATACCAAGATAGACGGAATAAAAATATGATGGCGGATTACTGGTTACGAAAAAAATCTACAAGAAAGAAACTGACACATAACAATAAAGCAATTCAAAAGTCATTCGAAGAGAAAAAGTACGATCATACAAAAAGAGTAAAAAATAGGAGGTTAATGAGATTATTGGTTTACTCTGTGCCTTGCCTTCATCGGATTATTTCGAGAGCTTGCCTTCACTGATTAATGGATTAATTCCAGCTATTGCCTTCATTGGTCGGATTATTTTGAGATTTTGCTTTCAAGGATATTTGGGATATATGGATTTGGGGTTTATAAATTGAGAGTTCAAGAGACTTGGTTTAGTTAGTTTACTATTTATGATTACGATTCTACGTAAATAAGAATTTATAATCTATGTTATTTTAATTTGCGATGTGAATTATGTGATTTTGAATCTTTTTATCACGTGTATTTTATAAATGTGATGTAATATAAATTTTTAGGAAACGGATTTTGTTTCAGCACATCAAAATATATAGGAAACAGTTGGTCTTCCTTCCAGAATAAAATACTTTTTTCTGTGGTCTTGTGTAATTTTGTTGATAACTGTATAATTATATCTGTTTAAAATCTCTTGTATCTAATGTGATATCATAAGTTCGATATGTTTACAATGTATAGAAATGAAAAAGTATAATTTGGGAAAGTTATCGATATGAATTTCTAAATATATAATATATTTAAAAAAAATGTATTTTAATGTGTTAAACAGGATATTGGTGGTGGACAGAAACTCAAAATTACGTACAGTTTTCAACACCAGAAGAATGTGCGCGAGAATGCCGAGATAACGAAGCACCGAAATATTGTTATTATCTTTTCGTCCTTGAATATTACACAGTAAATGGCTAGTATGTATTTATATACGCTTATTTTTTCTTACATACTCATCACATAGACGCGCGTCTATGTGTGTGTGTGTGTGTGTGTGTGTGTGTGTGTGTGTGTGTGTGTGTGTGTGTGTGTGTGTGTGTGTGTGTGTGTGTGTGTGTGTGTGTGTTGGTTGTGTGTGT